AAAAAAAAAAACATAGGCATAAACTCTTTGACATTGGTCTTAGCAGCATTTTTCTGAATATGTCTCTCTGGGCAATAGCAAAGAAAAACTAAACAAATGGGATTACATCAAACTAAAAAGTTGTGTGTTTTTTATAGTGAAGGAAACCATCAATAAAACAAAAGAACAACCTACTGAATGGGAAAAGATATTTGCAAATGTTATATCCAATAAGGGGTTAATGTTCAAAATATATAAAGAATTAACAGCTCAACATCAAAAAAACACAAACAATCCAATTAAAAAATGGGCAGAGAACTTCAATAGGCATTTCTCCGAAGAAGATATACAGATGGCCAACAGACATATGAAAAGATGCTCAGCATCACTAGTCACCAGGGAAATGCAAATCACAACCACAATGAGATATCACCTCACACTTGTCAGAATGGCTATTATTAACAAATGACAAGTACTTGCATGGATGTGCAAAAAGGGAACCCTTGTGCATTGTTGTTGGGACTGAAAATCAGTGCAGCCAGTATGAAAAATAGTATGGAGGTGCCTCAAAAAATAAAAAATAGAACTTTCACACACAGCCTAGCAATTCCACTTCTGGGTATATATCCAGAGAAATGAAAACACTAATTCAAAAAGGTATATGCTCTCCTATGTTCATTGCAGCATTATTTACAATAGCCAACATATAGAAGCAACCTAAATGTCCATCAATAGATGAGTGGATAAAGAAGATCTGGAGTACATACATACCCAAGGGAATATTACTCAGCAATAAAGAATAAAATCTTGCCATTTGTGATATGGATAGACATAGAGGGTATTAGGCTAAGTGAAACAGGTCAGACAAAGAAAGGTAAATGCCATATGATTTCACATATATGTGGAATATAAAAAAGTAAAATAAAATAAATAACACAGAAACAACTCATGGATACAGAAAACAAACTGATGCTTACAGGAGTGAGAGTGGAGAGGAGGATACATAGAAAACATGAAGGATAATAAGAGATACAAACTTCCAGTTATAAAATAAATAAGACATGCAGATGTAATATACAGCACAGTGAATATACCCAGTAATATTGTTATAACTTTGCATGGTGACTTCTTGTGATGATTACATTGTATAAATGTTGAATAACTATGTTGTACACTTGAAATTAATGTAACATTGTATGTCAACTATACTTTAATAAAAAAATCATAGGGGATTTTTAAAATATTTCAAACTGATCAATAATTATTTTTAAAATCAATTTAGCTATGAAAATCTATAGCTAATAATGAAAGACTAAATGCTTTCCCTCAAAAGTCAATAATAAGTTAAGATATACTCTCACATCACTTCTATTCAAAATGTACAG